CTCTAGCTCTCTTAGTTTCTGGGGTTTCAGGGTGGTCAAATTGACCCCCACCCCTCCCGGGAGAAGGGCATTCAGCCGGCCATCCGTGCGTGTGTTAGATTATTGCCACACTCAAGGCAAAATGCGACCCGACCCAGCACCAGCTCCGGCCCAGCGCCAGCTCCGACCCAGCGCCAGCTCCGACCCAGCGCCAGCTCCGACCCCGCACCAGCTCCGACCCAGCGCCAGCCCCGACCCAGCACTGGCTCCGACCTAGCACCAGCTTCGACCAAGAGCCAGCTCCGACCCAGCACCAGCTCCGACCCAGCGCCAGCTCCGACCCAGCACCAGCTTCGACCCAGCGCCAGCTCCGACCCAGCGCCAGCTTCGACCCAGCGCCAGCTCCGACCCAGCGCCCAGCTCGGCTGCTAGGTTCTCACCAGAACCAGGGCAGCACCGGCGCAGTACCGGCTCGCAGCACCGCCCAACGCCATGGTCGGCGGCGGCGGCGACAGGCGCTGGGTTTGTCAGCTAATGTGACTTGGTGGCATGGGAGTGTGCGTCTGCGTCTGGCATGGGAGTTGGCACGCGTCTGGCATGGGAGTTGAGTCTGCAGACAGGCCCATTTAGAGCCGGCGTCATTCCCGCAGCTTATACACGCCCGCCCCGGTCCGGCTTTGCGTCTCTCGCCAGCCGCCGCGTCACCGCTGACCACTGAAGCCCAGCCGGGCGGGGCCACCTACGCCGGGTCCACACTCAGCAGGCCCGGCCACCTACACCGGGTCCACACTCAGCAGGCCCGGCCACCTACACCAGGTCCAAACCCGCTGGGCACGGCCACCTACACCAGGTCCACACTCGCCAGGTCCAGCCACCTAAGCCGGGTCCATACCCGGCGGCAAGCTCACGCCGTCCAAACCATAACGCACGGCGCATACCGAACTATCATAATTGGAAATCTGCCGCTGGTAGGTGGTGCGACTGCGTGAGGCAGCAGCCTGACGAACCCAACGTCGACTGGCACGTGGCGAGTTCAGCTGATCGGAAAACATGGACACAAGCCTCCCGAAGCCACCAAGTGCTGCTCGCGCAATATGTCGCGGCACGCGTCTCTCGGCTCCTAGCTGCGCCGCCGCACGGCTGGTGGACGGGAGCCGAAGCTCGTCAACCGGCGACGGTGGCGCCACCTCTCGCCCCATCGGCGCCACCTCTCGCCCCATCGGCGCCACCAGCGCCACCAGAGCTCACACTTGCGACACGACGGACGAGGGCGTGGAGCTCTCCCGCAATACGTGCCATAGACAGCTTCACAGCAACCCGGGAAGTTCCAAAGGAGAGGAAAATTGGTGATTCCATCATCTTGCACGGATGACGCACAATACGCTGAAAGATTCTAACGGCTTTTTCACGAGCAGTGCACCGATCTAAAACGCGTCAAACCCGCCCTAACTCAACACGTCCTTGCCACCCCACGCGCGGGATCAGCTTGGGACTGAACACTAGATCGCATCTCTTCACGAGTGGAGCCAACATCTTCAGTGCCGTCCTCGTGGTGGAAGTCCTGGCAACAGTCATACACCCTGTGTTGAATCAGCATCGCACGCCACGTTGCAAAGGTAGATCAGGCTCTGGCTTCGCTGCCGCGCTGCGATGGCACACTCTTGCGATACGAACGGGTGCCTGAATCCGTTTTCCGTAGTACGCGATTATGCACAATGATGACGGCATCCACTATTACACCGGGACTACCACCAGCACGCACCGGCAGTCCACATCGGCACGGTCGCGGCTCGCTAACGCCTCGGTCTGCGGTGCCCTAGACCTGTATGGCCAGCTGATGGGCAGTCACGGTTCGATAGCAGCCGCCCACCCACTGCCCTAGACCTGTATGGCCAGCTGATGGGCAGTCACGGTTCGATAACAGCCGCCCATCCACTGCCCTAGACCTGTGCGGCCGGTCGAATGGTCGCAGTTTGGTGGCAGGCACCCGTCTGCCACGCCGTTTTTCTAGGAGGCCACGCAGCCTGGCGTACCAATCACCGACCGCCAGCGACAACAGTCCGACGCCAGCCTCGCACTGTTGCCGGACCACACGGCCTAGCGTACCAATCACCGACCGCCGGCGACAACAGTCCGACGCCAGCCTCGCACTGCTGCCGGATCACGCAGCCTAGCGTACCAATCACCGACCGCCGGCGACAACAGTCTGGTGCCAGCCTCGCACTGTTGCCGGACCACGCGGCCTATCGTACCAATCACCCACCGCCGGCGACAACAGCCTGGTGCCAGCCTCGCACTGTTGCCGGATCACGCAGCCTAGCGTACCAATCACCGACCGCCGGCGACAACAGTCCGACGCCAGCCTCGCACTGCTGCCGGATCACGCAGCCTAGCGTACCAATCACCGACCGCCGGCGACAACAGTCTGGTGCCAGCCTCGCACTGTTGCCGGACCACGCGGCCTAGCGTACCAATCACCCACCGCCGGCGACAACAGCCTGGTGCCAGCCTCGCACTGTTGCCGGATCACGCAGCCTAGCGTACAAATCACCGACCGCCGGCGACAACAGTCCGACGCCAGCTTCGCACTGTTGCCGGATCACGCAGCCTAGCGTACCAATCACCGACCGCCAGCGACAACAGTCCGACGCCAGCCTCGCACTGTTGCTGGATCACGCAGCCTAGCGTACCAATCACCGACCGCCGGCGACAACAGTCTGGTGCCAGCCTCGCACTTTTGCCGGACCACGCAGCCTAGCGTACCAATCACCGACCGCCGGCGACAACAGTCTGGTGCCAGCCTCGCACTGTTGCCGGACCACGCAGCCTAGCGTACCAATCACCGCCCGCCCGCAACAACAGCCCGGCGCCAGCTTCGTACTGTGGTCGGGCCACACAGCCTGGCATAGCAATGAGATGAGCCACGGCCAAGGCAATCAAAAATCGCCTTACAGTTGGTCGCAAATCCTGAACAAAACATTTCATCATAATTTGCATTCACCCAGATACACCATTCCAGAATCAAGTGACAAGGCTGGTTATATGCCTGCTCACACAATCTCACATCAATATTGGTGGTCATAAATCCCAGAGGTAAACAGGTTAGGGTACCCATCTTTGTGTGCACTAACTGGCTGATCCCTTTACTGTGATTGGCCAATTGCCATGTCCTGGCCTCACCACTAACGAACCCACTGTACTACTTGGCTAAACCACAAGGGAAAACATGTCACAGTTTTGTCCATCTGGGTGGTAGAGGTCAGTGACCACATAACAAGCTATCATAAACAAACACTCTGAAAAGTATCTTGAGCACACCATGCACATGCCCACCTATTCTTTAATGGCATGACAGCAATGCCAACAGAGCTGATGATTGCCATATTAGATCATCACTTCCTTGCTTGTTCCTATTTTCCTATTTACCACTTCCCTCTGAATCATGTGTTTGGGAACACAAATTTGAAATGGCACCATGCATTTAAGTTATGTCCTTAAAAGGGCATATAATACCAATCTCACAGCAATGCTGCTGTGATAATCAATGTAAGGCAATGATGCTGACTGGCTCTGATCAGTTCATCTGATCTGATAGTTAATCTGCAATTTAAACTACCTCCACCTACCCTTGTATAAATTAACTTTAACTTTACACAGGCTTGGATTTGATTACTATGGCAAAATGTCAAACAGCCAAGAGCAATTGATATCATAGCTAAGTTAGTTTTATGTTACCAGTTTCAGACCTGCAAGGCAGGTGGCTTAGTCAGCTATAGTTCTCTCATCTTCAGGTGGGTTTCTCATATACAGTGTGTATCTCAAGATGCATTTATCAGGTAATTATTAATTGTGCTAACCATGCAACCAGGTAACTAGGAACCTGTCCACAGGATGACAAACCTAACCCAGTTTCAGATAGGAGGCTTCAGGATGTTTCCCAGAGGTACAGCATAAATTTTGCAAATCTGATCAATTCTAAGAGAAGCTATGTCAACAGAGAAAAATTATAGGTTCTCATCAACTCTGAACAGCACTAAAAATGGATCTACCCTACCAGGCACCTTTACAAACCTGTCCACCAAAATTCATGCTTGTGTGTGCCAAACCCAGACCAGGTACACAGTGCTGAATGTTCAAATAATCATCAAGCACAAAAATGATTTTGAATTATTTCTCCCTCAAATTACTATAGCAGCATTATTATTGGTATAAATACTGTCTGTGTGCAGAAATTGGTTGCAATGTGGGCCAAACTTTGGTTTTCTTGATCTACTATGGAAATTAACAGAAATTATTGCATCTATATCTCTGCTACAGTCTAACATGCTCAGCGTAAAAGCTTTTGTTTACACTCTGGCCCTGTATGTATCAGCTTTCAGGCCCAGCTGCAAAAAATCCATAGATTATGCCGGATGACTATGGAACAGCAGTGCACCGCCTTGAGCCTGCATGCACTGACCTCAGTGCAGACCAAATGTTTCATCCTGCTTAAATCATGCTTAGTTTTCAATTATTTTGTGAACAGATAGTTTGGGAGTATTTTGCCCTAAACTACCTTGGCATGCACCAAACTCTAAGCACCTGAATGTAAGGTGTACATGTCCATTACTATGAGGTCCCTGCTGTGCCAGATATTCCCAGTGTAGTATATACTTTCTGTACCGACCCTCTGGCAGAACCATTTCTGTGTAGTGAACACTGCATTAGCCCATGAATACTGACCATCACCATACAGTAAGTATTAAATAATGTGTTGTTTATGTACCACGAGCAGTATATACATAACATCCGAGGAAGCCTCACACAGTAAATGTAGGTATCCACAGCTCTTTGACTGACTCACCAGGATGCATTTGTCACACACTTACACTAAGTTTCTACACCTTACATTACCTTCACCTACACAATTCTCCAAAAGATAAGTCATGTAGAAAAGAATAAAGAGCCAGCCACCCCCAATATACGATGGGATCATGCCCACGAAAACCAACCTCATTGACCTGAGTTGGCCATGAGCTTACCTCCGGATCGTCAAGCTGCATGCCGTCGTATCCCTGGGCCATTCTCGAGATGCTAACAGACACTGTGAAATACCTTCCTCCAAGACAAACAGCAGTTTACACCATAATTCACTGATACAACACCTATTTACCAGACGCCCCCGTCTTCCCTCACCATGTGTGAACTGAAACCTGAACGCGAGCACCAAACCAACATGGCGATGTTTACAAACATTGTGAAATCGTGAGTGACCTTGAAACCTACATTTATTTGAGATAGCGACTAAAATCCAAAGATATCCTCCCCTTTTATTACTGAAAGTTAATTCATCATTTTTAATAGACGAATATCTTATGCATTTTTGTATCGATGACTATTATTTTTGCAATGCTTGGCGTGAGGATGACGTCGGCATATTCATGCTGCCGTAAATTAAACAAGTGTCCCAATCACTTCAATCGAGCGCCTAGGTGGCAATGTTTTATCGGAACAGCGCAGAAAATAACAAAAGGTAAAATCTTTCCACAAATTTTTGGCGGTAGTAAATTTATTACGCTGGTTTCAAAATAACCCTTGATGAAATATACACCAATCAACGCTAAGGACGTGTTGATATCCTTCCTACTCGTCTTCTGTTCGCCACATTAGCCACGTCGGTGGCTTGGCAGACGCGCCGGTACCAAAGCTGATGGAGGCTGGTTCCACATCATTTGCTCCTCTCTTTCAAAATTGAAATGTTGTAGCGTAGCTATCTGTATGTGTTATTAAGTACGTATTAATTGTTTCATTCAGTACACAGCGTCGTTGGAATAGTGGTAAGTAGTTTGCAGATGATGTGTAATAACCTAGCTTATGAGCAGCAATTTGTTTTCTTAAAGTAAGTGTTGCTTGCGTTTTGGGTTTGAAAAACTGGCTTATATTAGGCCTGAAAAGTGTTGTCCTCTTGTTGGATGTCAGTGAAGTTTGCTTGTCATCAAGTTGTTTTGGCATTCTTCTTAGGTGCATGGTTAAATAATATGTTTGATGAGGGGTTTTTCAAGTTTTCAACCCTCTTCAGCTGAGTCCAGTCTGTAAAGAAGTTATCCACAGCACCAGGCAACTGTTAACCTAACCTAACCTCACCTAACCTAACCTAACCTAGTCTAGCCTAGCCTAACAACCTAACCTAACCTAACCTAGCCCAGCCTAACCTAACCTAACCTAACCTAACCCAACCCGCCACCCTATCCCCTTCAACCCAGTGTCCCATTGGCATCCATGTTCCATGCCATATATGTGTATGGTATAAAGAAGTTTTGTTTAGCCACCATATTCTCATTTTGCTTTTCGTTCCCATGCAAAGACGTAATATTTCCCCACCATGTTGACCAATCTACAAACAATGCAGAAGACTGCTTGGATGCACAAGAAGCACATCTTATTGAATTATTGTTACCTTGGCCTCATACATTTGTATGGTTCTTGATGCACAGTAATGTTGTGATCATGCAGTAATGCTGCAATCACGCCTAGAAATGGTGCCGGGGTCGTGATTGCTATGTGTTTGCGCTCGGATGGTCGCTATCATAGTCATTTAAGTTCCAAGGTAAGAGCTTAGATGACCTGTTTTATTATTAATTATGATATGTTCTGCCTTAAAAATGATGATTGATGTACAATGCTCTTTATCAACATGAGGTAGGAATGTATACCCTGACCCATTTGGCTGCCAAACTATGATTGTTCTAATTTGGGATGTATTTGTGCTGCAGTTATGGCTAAGATTTCAGGGTTATGCTGGTCACATTCAGCATGATATGTATTCCTTTGCAGTCTGGAGAAAAGGCATTGCAACTTGTCTTTTGCCATATTGCCATCTGCTAAGCCCAGGCTACTTTTTAACCTCCATGGTCTGGAGGCTTGTCAGTAAAAAGATTGTTGCATGAAGCATGTTTTGAATGGTAGCTAGACCTTGCCTTATATGGCCATCACCAACAAAAATTGAGGCTTTCTCTGTGTAAATGCTTTGAGCCATGATGATCTAAAACACCGCAGATGTCTTCGGGCTTTTTAGGAAGCCTGAGCCTTGCCGAATGCATGGTCTTGTGTCTGTGTGCACTATTCTGGCATATGCAGGGAGGAGATGCCATGGTTCAGGTTGGCATCCAGTTGAATTGATTATCAGGAATGACTCTTGTGGGGCCTTTACTACAGCTGTCTTTTTAACTGTTTTTTGACCTGATGGGGTCTTTAGTACAACAATTTAGATAAAAGCCTGGAACTTCCTGTATAAGACTAGTTCATAATGCGTGAATGAGCCTGGCAGTAAACTGCTGTACTGCACCTAGTAAGCTACTGATAAGCTGAAATTAACTCCATTCTAGCTGGGCAACAACACTAGTTTGCAAAAAATATGTCCATTGCTCTTGTGTATGCAACATCAATCCACTGAACCTTTGCCTCCATGTGCTTAAGTCAGGCCAGATCAAATTGCTAAATCAATGTATGAAGGGTGCAGTTGAAATATTTTTGCCTGAAAATACCTTTGCAACATCATTTTGACATGAAGCCTCAACCCGCTATGTGCTGAAAGTGGTAATGGCTGCCTTACTACTTTAGGCATGCTCAGATTCACTATCTAGGATTACTGTGGGATTATTATGTACAAGTGCTAAAACTGAGTACAAAAGTACTGAGAGCAATGTACACAATATGTTGTGGTAACTGGGTTCTTCTACAGCCATTTATCAGTGTTCTTGCCAATCTCAGAAGGAGCACTGGCCACCCAATAGCTATCTGATCTGTATCACTGCTAACCTTTGGATAGCCCTGACCACTGTGTCCAGAGCGTGCCTCTGTACTGAGAGCAGTGTACACAATATGTTGTGGTAACTGCGTTCTTCTACAGCCATGTATCAGTGTTCTTGCCAAACTCAGAAGGAGCGCTGGCCACCGAATAGCTATCTAATCTGTATCACTGCTAACCTTTGGATAGCCCTGACAACTGTGTCCAGAGCATGCCTCTGGAATGTCAGCCTGGAGTCTGTGTCTACAGCAATGTGTCACCCAGAGCTGCTATATGCTAGCTCAGTACCTAGTGTCAAGCCTCACCTGAGGGTTGTCACCATCCAAGGGCAATACTTTTCAATAGTTATGTGCATGCAGCCCAAAAAAAGGCATCAAAGTCATATAAAAATGGAGCCCTTTAGCGAGCATTCTTGATCAGTCCTTGAGAGCCAGGCACATGTCTCCTTCTCAGTTACTCTAGGCTAGCAGGGAGGTGTGCATTGCCAGACATAAGGCTGAGAGGAAGGCATCAGTTGTGGGGCATCAGGCTAAGAAGGAGATGCTGATGGACAGACCATGTCTTCACCACATCCATGTTCTTTTAGTGTTATCAGTTGTGGCTTTGTACATTATTTTTTGTTGGTTGTTAGATAAAAGTAGTGGTTAGGGAAAATCTTCATTCTGAATTATGTCTATGTGACCAGTTGTTGGGGGAAATTAGTTAATTGTTAAGCATGTTGTTTTTTATCTCAAGGCTGTTTTAGTCACATGGTGAAAAAAATTGTTGAAAGTAAATAAAACTGGTGTCATCTGATGATTTGTTTGATATAGCTCCTAGAACATAAGCAGTACTACTTTACTGTTAGCTTGGTTTTCATTGATATGTCACTGATACAGCTGAGGCTCAGCCTTCTTGGGCTGCTGTATATCATTCATACCCAATGTTGCTTAACATGTTTTATTCTGTTTCAGTCACTGAGGAGAAAACACAGCATCTTGGGTGCTGAACAGTGCATATAAAAAACACTTCCATCATGAAGTCAGATAATCAACCAGGATACATTATTTTGTTGCTCTCTTGTCTCTCTTCAGTGCAAGGTAAATATTTTAAGTGTCTTACCATGTCAGGGCTATGCCATTTCTGGGTGGTATGAGTGGTGTCATCATTAAGCAAACTGAAAAAATGATGTTTGTGGAGATGGATGTGCGCTGCTGCTGTTTTGCGCGTGGCGCACGCCGGAGTGGCCATCACCGACCTCTGACGCGTCCCGTCCCGTTCGGGCAGGCTCGTTACGTGTGGACGACGTGACGTGCGGCTCGGTGGTGAAGCTGATGAACACGGCGTACAAGTCGCGGCTGCACTCGCACGACGTCAAGTACGGCTCTGGCAGCGGCCAGCAGAGCGTCACTGGCGTCGAGGATCAGGACGACGTCAACAGCCACTGGTCGCTGATGGGCGCCTCCGGCAAGCACTGCGACCGCGGGTGAGGGCGGACGCGCGGTACATGGTGCAGCCGAAGGGAGAGGCGGTCGGCGGGGTGTCTGATGGCACGTTAAACGTGTGGGGATAATTCTTGAGGTGAGACCAATCCAGGGGATCACAGTTCCAGGGCGACGGCTGGCTGACTGACGGACAGGGGTACTTATCCGCATGGTCGGAGGGTTATTCGGAGGGTCGCGCGGCACTGCTGCCACGCAGGCAAAGCGGTTAGCCATTGATGATAATCGCTGATGATTGTCAGATCAGTGTCTGGATGGATGCTGCTCATCAGAGGGCATAATCTGCCATTTTTGAACAATAATTTGAGTCATCGCGATTAAGAGCAGCCAGTGCATTGCTGGGAAAGTTAGAACTTGTGGCATTGCTGTGGCATTTGCGTGATGATCTGTGCACATAGACGTCAGTTGGTGTCTTTGCAGTCCCATCCTCTGGTATGTTCTCCACTATGGACAAATGAAGTAGTGTGTTTTATGAGTTGTATTGTGTGCGGGGGCGTAGTTTCGCAAAATACGTAGGGAGGGGGGACTGAACAGTGAAAAATAACCCAAGGTGCCTCCAAAATATGCCAGCGAACAGATTTCTCCCCCCCCCCCCCCCATTTTGTCCGCCTTCTTTCCAAGGTTTGGGGCTGAAGCCTTTCCCCATCCCCGCCCACAAACCGAAAAGGAAACTACACTTCTGATCGCACGGTGACTTTGGGGCACGAGTACTGGCGACGCAAAGCTTATTGCGTGCGTCGTGCACCCACTACCCTAGTTGTACTGCCCAGTTCGATGGAGAATTTTGCATCCGCCTTTGGCCGCACAAGACTGGAGAACTGCACGTGCTGCACAATATTCGGCTGCTGAGATCACCCTCGTTGGCCAGTTGCCACCTGACCTTTCAGTGTCCGTCGGTCCAAGCAGCGCGCCCGCTCCGGGTTTAGTACACAACGCCGCTGTATAATTACT